TTTGTTATTGTCCACAGACAAACACTGTGTTTGTTCTTTTTTGTTATTGTCCACAGACAAACACTGTGTTTGTTCTTTTTTGTTATTGTGAGCCACCCAGAGTCACCCGTTGGGGGAGATGGGCGGCATACAAGTTTAATAATAAATAATAAATAAAATAAATATGGCTTAAAAACATGATGGTGACAATGGCGATGATGGTGATGATTACTGTCAATAGAAAATCCTGAAATTTGGAGGTTTCAAGGTAAAATGTGATGGATTTTTGAGAAAAACAATGTGTAGTTTAAAATAGATTAGTTATATGATTTTGCACATAAAAAAGCTGTTTGTAAGGAATTATCATGCCATTCTTGAACATAATGCAGCTGATTGCCAGTGATTGAGGTTGAGGTAATAAAAGGTTAACTTTTAAAAAATAGATTATATGGCCAAGACTACCAGCCAAAACAGATAACAAAATATTATTGTACAGTCACTCAGAAGGACAGGCTAGGCAGCAGCAAGGTGGAGCAAAACATAAATAAGACTCTCTTTCTTTCAGGTTCCTTTGAGAGAGGCAGCCAATGGGGCCTGATTACTAAGATCACTTTGATTCAATGGCAGGCTTGCTGGATACTGAATCCAGTAATCCTCCCTCGCTCTTTCCCTGAATGACTTGTCTGTGTGTGGGTATGTGCGCGCACATGTGTGCGTATGTGTGCAAGTGCTGTTAAGACATCTTTTGCAATGTGCTGGAGCTTTAGGGAAGCCAAACTTCATGGAGATGCAGAATTGAAGTGGAACAGGTTTAGGCTTGTCTTGTCACCCTGGTAAATGAAAATCAGCCTTGATATCTGGCTGAATCTAATGCGCATCTTTAATAGAAACCACATGAAAAGTCCACTTTGTGTGTAATATGCCAAATTACTACGTATTTACATTTCTTCCTTCTTGTATCTACCACTTTTCCTCTGTGATCCACTTCAATGTAGCTGCTTCATCTCCCTTGTTTTTGCATAATACTTTATGAGAAACATAATCAAGTACTGGTATAGTGTTTGGGTTTCCTTTTATTCTTTGAGGTTTTAGAAGCTTTGAAAAAAGTCACTTCGATTTCTGGAGGTGTGAGGTTTGCTGAATCCAGAAGAGATGGCCTAAAAGCTGTTGGAAAGTATGTAAACCTTTTTGCTTCCCATACCTTTTTATTTAATTTTGGTGGTGAGTGTAGTTAAGAATATGAATGCTATGAATTTATATGAATGTATTTACATGAATAAATATATAAATATATCTCCTGCCATGGTCTTTTTTTGGGGGGGGGTTCAACAAAACTTAATAAGAATGATAAGAACATAATAATTGTAGAAATAATAGAAGAAACTGGAACATTTTTGTTGCTCTGGACTTTAAATTACATAAAATCCAGAGAGATTTGGAGTGATTTTTATGGAATAAGTAAGGCAAGGCCAGTGCATGTTGCCCCTTCCTCCCTTCAGCAGCTCCCAGTGCAGAATATCTTGCTGGCCCACCTCCTCCCGTTCCTCCCTGCATTTTCCCTCCTTCCCTCTCCTCAGCCACAGACATTGCCACTACTGTTTTCTCAGTACAGCACCTCCCACAGGCTCACCTGCCCCCAATATTTCCAATGCCATTTCTTCCACTGCTGTTTTGGTCCCAGCATAGGATATTCAGCTGGCTCACTGCCCCTGATCTTCCCCATGGACCTTCCCTTCTCTCCCTCCCTCAGCTGCTGTCAGTGGACTGTGTGCCAGCTCCTTAACTGTGATCGACTCTGAAGTGAAGAACAGGCTCCCAGTTCTGCCTATCTCTCTAGCCCCTTCCACTAGCCCTTCCCACTGCCCCTTTCTTTCTCTTTTGTCCTTTGTTGTCCCCAGCTGCTGCCAGTATCCTTAACTCTTTCCTGCTTTTGCTATCCCAGACCACTTCTACCCAGGGCAGCCTCATTCCATTCTGTACAAACCCAAACATCCAAAACACTCATGCTTTAATTAGGCCACTGACTACCTGGTTCCATGAATGGAACAGTTTATATGTCCCTATTATTAATATTTTCAGGGGAACTTATGAAGACAAGTATCTTCATAAGGTTATAATTTTGAAGAGAAGCAATGGTGCTATTAATGGTAAATTCTGTATCCTCAAGTCTATTTTGAAATCTATAAAAATATTAACCAGGCTTTATGAAGCAATAATTTTTATGTGAGCAGGTCTGTACTATTTCATCAAAAATAAACAGGCTAAATAAATTGTATTTGAGTAATAATCTCTCCATCAGAAATATAGTGCTTTTAGTAGTTTAAATTGTAGAAATCCAAGAAAGATCAATTTCATAATAAAAATATAATTTTCATTGTAATTTCAGCTCATTATCCAGACATTTCTTTTACATTTACTTCTGAAAATATGAGCACTTAAAGATTCATGTTGGTAATTCATTTCAAGACATTCTTATGTTTATCATTTGTTTAAGATGCCAGGTAGCTGTCCTGCACAAGTATCTACCATAAATATGTGGGCTTTAACCATTTTTCCCAATTTAACTATGTAGTTGTCACAATTTTTAAGGCATTAAATCTGAAAACAAGATAGAATGTAACTAAACTATGTTCTTTAGTTACATTCTAACACCAAAATGAACACAAATGAACAATGAACACAATACAATGAAACCTTGAGAAAGGTAACTTTATTGTAACAATGTACAACTAAAAGGTTCTTCACACCTCCCCTGAATTCTGTCTGCATCCCCCCAAGGGAGGTACCCCTCGCAGTTTGGGAAACCCTGGTATAGACTAGAATGAATTCTGTAATGTGCAGGACAGCCCTGTATCATGAAAGCAGGCTCCGTAACATGACACGTAAGGAATGACGATGAAAATCAGGCATCTTAAACAAGCCATAAACTTTGCCAGTGGGATTTTCTCCAGCACTCCTTGCTTTGCTTCCAGTGACAACTTGTTAGCAGAAGGAATGGCTTGTTGCTTTGTTAAATATCCACTGCAAATGGCAAGAGTACTGTATGTATTATAACTTTTAACCCATTAGATATCATAAGACATAAGGGAATAGTAAGACATCACCTTTGTATGTAAAAGATCTGACACTGTCTGAACAACTAGTCACTCAGGAGGAAGCTGAATTGCTCATAGAATAATTCCTCTTGGATTTCCTCTGGTCTTTCTCTGTATCCTTAGGCATGAGAAAACCTTTGCTAGGAGAATATTAAAATCAGATGAATAGTATGCCTTCCCCTCCCCAATCTATAGTTAATTCTACATAACAAGGATATAATATCAAAACCAATTCTAGATACGTATAGACTTGACTTTCCAGTAACACAAACTTTTGTAATATCAAGTAAGGTACATTACTTACTCATTTTGATTAGTAGATGGTATTGAGATATTTATTTGTTTATTGGGTTAAGCAGAGATTTGTTAATGAACAAATGCTACATTTCTTAACATTATATGGTTATATTAGTCATCTTTCTTCTTTCTTTCCTTCCTTCTTCCTTTAGAGTTTGCTTGACAGTAGGGGTGAATGGAGAAGGTTCACCAAATGAATTTGTGTGTAAAAGTAATGTTACACAGATATACAACGTATTGTTGGATGGTCTGAATGATTACACAACAGACAGTCGAGGTGATGTTGGAGCATGGTAAGATGTTTGCTCTTGGTTCTGTAATGCAAAGCAAAAATGATAGATTCAGAGGAAGGATCCAATGTGTGTGTGCATGAAAAAGTAATATAGTTAAATTGAGCAGGGACATTGCCGTATTGGAATGTCCCTGCTCATTTATGGAGGTGTAATTAAGCTCTGTAAAAATAAAGACAAACTACAGATTTCAGAGCAATTGTTTAGCAGAATTTCTCTTGGGTCAGTATAAGGGCTTTTGTTAAAGATGTAACATACTAAATTAAAATGTGAAACTGTGGCATCTTGCTAAGGCTGTTACTTACTTTTGAGGCTTTCTTCCATGGGTGAGAAACCTTCCAAACTTTTATGTTTAATTGTCACTTATTTTAGTTTGATTCAAAATTTTCCTTAGTTTTATTTCACTCTGAAAGAACAGATTGGCTGTTCTGATATTCCATTATGGTGATTAAACAGCAGAGGGTGTAGTTGTATCAAGAGTTGGAGTCTCCTTCTCTTATGTTGTTCCCACCTACAAGCCACATTTTGCAGACATTATTTTAAAGAGCAACTGCTTTTCATTATCTCTATTATCTACAAACCACAAAGTTTTATTTTGACATAAATAAAGAACATGAATGTGTAACCATTTGTCCTCAAAGCTTAACAAAAAGTTAATTTGTTTTACATGAAAATTTGAATTTTTCTATTATTAAATTGCACAACTTTGCCTGGTTGCACAAAACTAAGCAAGGTCAGGCCTGGTCAGTGCTTTGATGGGAGGCTCCAAGGCTATAGGCTAGCTTGGGAAATCAAAATTATAACCCGAAAGAAGGCAGTGGCAAACCATTTCTATAGTGCTGCCAAGAAAACTACTTGGATGTGGCCAGGAAATCACCAAAGGTTGAGCTCAACTTGAAGGAGACAGTGTATTATTTTTATTGTTAAGTTATAGAGAGCCAGAATTTTTAAATTAAGGAGTTTTAAAATGAAACAAATAGGTTTTGTACACTGGAACTTTTCATTGAAGCACAAAATAAAATATCTGAACAGTTGTTTCTTTTAAATTTGGTACATGCATCTTTAAGCCAGTCTATAAAAAAAATCTTTCTGAACATATTTCATACTTACATGCTAAAGAAATCTTCTGCAAAAGAGTGGAGAAAGAATTTAGCATGTAATTTGTAGCTTCAGAATGTAACTCAATTCAAAGATAGCATAGCATAAACATGCAATGAGTGATTGGAGACTTGGTGGTGGTGGAAAAATTCATACTTAGATTTCATTTTTTGCTTATTTTTTTAAATATATGTTTAGTTTTGGGGGCCCAAATCATATTAGGGCAGTTATAGCTTACTACTGTCAATGTTACCTTCTGGTACTATTTGACCAGAAAGGAAAAACCTACAGACATTAGGTGTAGGTAGAAGGGTAGTATTAAGTAAGAATGTGGAGTTAGCAGAAAAAGAATATTTTCTCTCCGTCCCTTTCCAGAAAGTTATATTTAACTTTTGGGGGAAAATATAACAGAAATTCCAGTCATGGATTCACAAATTTGTATCCATTTTTATCCTAGAATTTATGCTTAACCCTCAGGAATGAAATATTGAATTTGAATGTTTCAGAGTTAGCATTTTTGTTTATATGCTAAATAATATATTTTTTACCTCTGACCAGATAGTCAAACCCCATTAGCTCAAAGCTTCATATTTAAGCGCCAGAATTTTTGTAGGAGTCACAATGTTAGGTACACAGAGGGTTGGAAGGGGAAACTGAGTGTGTGGGTACCCTTGGGAAATGCTTTCTGAGGTGTCTGCTCTGGTAAAAAAAAGTCCAAAAGATATAGGAATGTACATGAAGTTTTGATTTTTTTAAAAGGATTCGTGGGAAAGCTAACAAACTGTATTTTCCATATGCAAACTTAACAATCCTTTTGACAGATTGTTTGCTGGGACTTGTCCAAATTCTGTCTACAGGTGTTAAATATAAAAAACCTTAATAGTAAGATGCTGTGTGAAAAAAAGAAAAAGTGCTCTTTGATTAAAAATTACCTAATTGTTCTCTGTGTGGGTGTATGAGTGTGCACACGTGTGCATGCATGTGAAGGGAGATAGACACAGAAATCTAGTAGGCTAATTCTCATTTACATATTCATCCATTATTTTAAATTTTCCATCAGAAAAATAGAAAATACATAACATATTTTACTGTGTTGTGATATAGTTAGATTTCTTTGGAATAAGCTATAAAACTGCCAGTGTAACAGCAGTTCAAATGACGTGTTCACTAGGTCATTTTGCAGAAAAATGCATACATTCACTGTTCAAATGCACCTTTTTTTGGTTCTTCAGTACATATTTCTGAGTGTACTTTTGCTGTCTTTTCTGTGTCTTTCATTATCTGGAATAATCCATTTTGACTGTTCTCGCTGGTACTAAAACAGATTAGAATTACCTTTAAATAGTCACTGAATACCCAGAAGTAAAACCAGCTAATGCCAGACTTTGAATACATAGGAGGTTAATCTGCATGAAGAAGCAACCAAATCTTCACCTAGATTTTGTCTGAGCCCTTGAGAAGGATTTCTTCTGAAGAAGATGCCTTCTCTCATTTGATTTAGATAAGCAAGGGAACCTTTTTAGATTTGCTCGAAGGTGTACTTTTGCTCTTGATGTCCTATTTCACTGCAGAAAAATAGCATGCGGAGAAGGACTGATGATTAATATAACAATATAGTCCTGCAGCTGTGATTTTTCCTAGTTAATGACAATTTGGCTACTATTATTCATAGCTGGGAACACTTTGGACAGCCTGTAATAATTGTTGTTGGAATATTTTAATGCCTGTCATTTGATAGGAAGGATATACAGAGATTATATTAATACATTTGATTGGTTGCACTGATCTCTTGTTTGGGCTATTGATCATTTCCCATAAATAACATAAACCCTAGAATATGTGAAAAACACTTTTTCCCATATGAGGTTATATAGGTTTTGAGCATGCAAATGAGATTGGCTCTCAGATGCATCATTAATTTAACAGAGTGAGTGTGTATCCATTTGGAAGAAGCAGGGTCTGGAAGAAGCAGGGTCATCTAAAAATAACTGATTGGTCTCAAACTCCTCCCTAACTCAGCAAAAAATAGATGTTCCTCTGATGGAAGAAAAAGAAAATCTAAAAAATGCTATAAAATGATTCAACTAGGACAATACATGCTTTGAAAATTATTGGGAAGAAGTGCTTTGGACCTTGTCTGAGCACAGCACATCTCTGCTATTCATTAAAAGAGCTGTGTCTTTTTTCAGATTTTATGAAAGTCTGAAAAAAGGACATGACAGCCTTAAATATTTGCAGGAAAGTGTTGCACTTGTGCAAGGTCCAAAGTGTTTCCTTTGAATCATTTTTGAAGCATTATACAGCCCTATAGTCCTATCCATAAGGGCCACCAAGCTCGCAGAATGAATAAGTATATATTTTGCCCTTTCAACCTAAATTCTTGGGATAGCTAATAAAGCATTAAGAAATTTTAAAAGTGCAGTACAAATTATAAAAAAGCATACAAATTAATGTAAGAACTAGATCTATAATAATCTGTTCAAATAGATACATTTGACAAAAATAAAAATGTTAGCATTCTCAATTTTAGAAATCTGGGAAACAAAATGCTTTTTCCAGGTGGCTGAACATAGTAACAAGTGTACCCACTAAGTATTCCAGAAATGGGAATCTACTATTTAAAAACACTGGTCATTCTCTTCACGCTTCAGATGGTAGGAACACCTAGAGAAAAGCTCAGGTTATGTAGGGCTATGATACCTGATCATTACTCGCAGGAACAACCTTATGGCAAGGAAAACACTCGTTGGTACTCTATTTCAGCAAAGAAGGGGCAGGTGGAAAGAGCTTGCTTTGTTTTCCCTTGCCAGAACAACCTAGCTCCAGTAGACATAAGGATATCATAACTGGACTGCAAACATCTGGATGACTGCTAAATGGCAGCAGTGTATTAAACTTTTCTTTACCTTTTCTTCCATCTAATGGTTGTCTGAATGTTGCAGCCCACATATGGTGGTCCTAATTGTTAGTTACTCCACATCTAGAATGGCTGAATGCAGTACATTCTTGTTTCATAAGTCAGTGACAGTTATGATCCTTGTTCCTCCCATCAATTGTTCAAAGGAACAAGTACCACAGACTGATGTTGCAGTGAGCATTTCACAGGAAGATATAATCGTCCCAGACTTAACTGCATGTAAATGCCAGTATGTTGCTTTCCAGTTCTTTCTGTCCCTAATGAACTGTTCTCTTTTCCCTCCATTCCTTATTCTGTGTCTTGTCATGTAGAATGTGTGCTGATGGCAGGGCCTGTTTCCTTCTTTTAAATTGCTGTTTCCTACTTGTCTGAAAAGCAAGATAAAAATGACTAAGTAAAGACCTGATCACAAATTTACTACATTTAGTTACATTAAACCTATATATTTATTAAAAAATAACAGAGTGGTTTCAGAGCAGGTGAGATGTGATTTCTGTGCACTGACCCTGTACTACAGACTAGCACAAAGTTCTAGTTTACCTGTAGAAAGGTCTAATGCATTGTGGTTAAGTCTGCCAAAAAATCTTTCTCTAGTAGGAGCTGTGGCCAGTACCTCAGCCCTATACAATAGGGCAAATGCAGCAGGAAGCATGATGGTGAAGCAGTGTCACCAAATAGGTGGAGTTGAAATTCTTGCCCTGCCTTTTGGAAGTTGGGATGAAAGATACTTCACACACCTATTTGGGGAAGTTTTAAAAAGCAAAACATAACAGCACCAGAATTAGTGATGTGACATCAAATTTCAGATGTGCTTCGGAAGCTCTAGGGAAAAAAAACAAAATCAGAGCTGGCTATATTTTGTGCCTTTGAAACTCCATAATTAATAAAGATGACCAACGATAGTAAAGACTGTATGCTTGAACTTTAAGGTTGGGGTAAGCGATATTTTAGGACCTGAGAATCTCGTTGCCCAGTTGCACGTGGTAGTATAAATCAGTGTGAATCCCTATGTTCTTCTCTAAACAAGAAATCAGCAGTTTTCCTGTGTACCTAGCATTCTACTGATTGGAAAGCAACTCAAGTTTTCTTGCGTCTGCTTTAACTCTGTCTTTCTTCACTTATTGCTTATTTTTAAACTCTGTATCTTACCTGCCTTTTATTAGTGTGTGTGTACATATATACACATATGTACATACACACACACACACACAAGTTCTTTGAAAATTGGTCCCTAGAGTTAGAATAAATTAGGTGAACATTAATAGAGATATAGCAAGTAGAATGTACCCTAGAGGTTTGGTTGCAAAATTTGTGTGCCTGATTGACTCTGGTTTGCTTTGCTTCAGTCCTCAACCTCCCCAGACAAAAACATCTTGGAGCCATTACTTGAGTATGTGCATGACTAAAGCATTTTATTCTGATCACAGAAGCATTGTGGATTTATAAATTTATATGAAGCTTGCTAGAAATTAACATTATCAAATTATGTCTGGATGCTTACTTCAACAGGGTGAGAGAAGCTGCTATGACGAGTTTGATGGAAATAACCCTGTTGTTAGCAAGGACTGAGCCAGCCTTAATTGATGCAAATGTGTATGTACTTCGCAAACGTTTTATGTCAGCCTTCTGCATGGTTAAGTAATCAGACTTTTCTGGAAAAGACTTGTGCCAGAGTCACTCTGACTGATTGCCATCACTACTGTTAATGAAAGATCTAAGCAGATCCTGTCTTGCTTCTGTCTGGGCTCAAGGAATGCAGATTTTAACTTCTCAAAGAGGTTGAACTGGGAAGCAGTGATGCTCAGTTACCCATTTAAGCTTGGGTCTTCCTATTCCAAATCTTACCCACTACAACTACTATAAGACCTGTGATCCCATCATCCCAATGGGTTGTTTCTCAGCCTTGTGACAAAATAAGGATACTGCTTTTTTACAGCTGTTCTTGTTTCCTTTCTGGAAAGATTTCTTAGCAGGGAATCTGAAATATTATAAGGGGAGAGGCATTGGTGGGGGGAGTGTTATTCAGGGCAAAGCAAGAAACTCTCAATGGATGATGTGGGTTTTTCTTGTAAATGGTGTTTTAAATTTCAGTTCCAAGCGGATTATGTGCTCTGTGGCTCAACAGTCAGCTGAAAAAATTGACCGATTTCGAGCTCATGCAGGGTCTGTGTTCCTCATGCTTCTTTACTTTGATAATCCTCCAGTCCCACACATACCCCATCGGGAAGACTTGGAGAGGATATTTCCAAGGTAATCAGCCTTGAATGGATAAGAAACCTTTGGGCATACATGTGAAAATAAATCCATCTATTTAAGTCGTGGTTATAGGCAAATATCTGTAACAGTAGACTGGAAGCCTGTTTTGAAAAGACAAACTACCTCAAGTGGGTGTGGTCAGAAGCAGAGATATTAGCATTTAAATCTTTCTCCACTGCTCTCCTGCTGTTCCACATCCCTCCCTAGCTCCCTCCAAGGAAGGGTTTAAAATGCTCATTTGTATGAGGGATGGTATTCAGACTTCAGTGGAACTGCCCCATCCAGATTATTTTGCAACTCAAAGCATGATTTGTCTTGTACTATAGCGAAAATCATCAATGTATTAATTTTAGTTATACATTTAAAGAAATGTCCTGAGATAGTGAAGTAATAGAATATTGTACAGTTTAAAATACATTCTATTGAATGGCAAAAATAGTTTCCTAATTTTATCATCCAAGATTTTCAGTATTTAGGTAAAAAAAAGGACCATACCAGATTGTTACGTTTGTGTGACCTACTTTCTTTTCAATGTTTTTCACAGGTCAGAGGCAGTAACTTTCAACTGGAATGCTCCATCACAGGCCTTCCCCAGAGTCACACAGCTTTTGGGATTAGCATCCTATCGCTACCACGTTCTGACAGGTCTGACTGTATCAATTGGTGGCTTAACTGAATCAACAGTAAGTGAATAAAAACTTATTTGAAACAGTTTTATCACTTAATATGCGAAAGGAATATTTTAAAAATATTACTTAAGAGTTAATATAGTTGGCTTCCAATTTCTGGAAGCAAGTTGTTGATAATTAGGAATATAGGTTTATTAATACAAATATGAATATGTAGGATGTAGTAATCTATTATGATTTAATATGATTGAAGTGGTCTTACCACTTTGCTTACAGACCTCTTTTTCATTCTGAAGTGCCACACTCTTCAGTAATAATAAGAGAAACTTGAAACCATTTGGAAAAAAATACACACGCACACAAACACACACATTGTACCTCTGGCTTTTTTCCCCCTTCTTTCCTGTGAGGCCATGTGATTCTGTCCTGCCTGGGCAACAATTTAGATGAATCAGCCTCTCATAGCACAAAGTGCTTCTTTAGTACTTAAAAAATATTTTTATATCAAACAAACCATAAAACATATCTATGCTAAGAATGTGGTATATAATTGGGGGGGGGGAAACAGGAAAAAAGGACTTGGAAATCTCTATTATAAACAAAACAATTTTTTAAAAATGACAAATTGCTCAAAAGTCCTCTTGCTTGCTCTTTGTGGGAAAAGGACTAATTCAAATGTTGATAAACAATGCATAGCAATCTATTGTTGTAATTCAGGTGTGATTTTTTCCCCCCTTCCCAGTGTTATATAATCATCTTTTGGCTTTTCCCTGTGCATGAAGCTTCTGCTATTTTTGATTTCAAATACTGGGAATATAGCCAAGAAGAAGATGTGCATCCTCAGTTTAGCAATTGGTTTATAATCTATGAATTTTAGCACAAAATATGGCAGTACTATGACCAATGCATGTAAGTTAATATTCCAGTTCTTGAACTGCTTTTTCAAAGCAAGGTAATTGCAACCAACCTTTATTATTCCCTGAGGTGTACAATATACTTGATTTTCAGTTATATTAACCTTCAATCAAAAGAAATATGTTTTAAAGCAACCTTCACTGATTTACAAGACGACAAAAAGCCAGGGATGGGATTTGAACTGCACATCACAAATCCATACCTTTTAATTCATTTAAAATATTAAAATAAAGGCAATTTGCAGATACAGGTAAACATATTCATTCATTCATTTGATTTATATAGCCACCCATCTCACCTTTACATGACTTTAGGGGATTACAATAAAATACATAAAATGTACAATATACAAATAAAACACATAGCATTATCCAACGAGTCATCCACACAGCCAGGAGATGGGCTCTATCCCATGCCCAAGGCCCCAGGTTCAAGCACAAAGCCAAGTTTTCAAGGCCTTACAAAAGGCCAGTAGGGACAGGGCCAATCTAATTTCAGAGCAGATGATGTTCCAAAGGGCGGGTGCCACGGCAGAAAAGGCTCTCCTTCTGGGCCCTGCCAGACGACACTCCTTAGCCAACAGTACCCAGAGCATGTCCCTCCTGCCAGATCAGGTAGAATGGGTAGAGACAATTGGGGAGAGACAGTTCCATAATTAACCCGGTCCCAAGACATGAAGGGCTTTAGGGGTGATAACCAGCACCTTGAATTACACCCAGAAGCACACCAGAAGCCAATGCAGCAGTTGAAGCTTCTAAATAGTCTTCAAGGGCAGCCCCATGTAAAACACATTGCAGTAGTCCAGTCTGGAGCTCCCAAGGGCAGGAGTGACTGTGAGGAGGGCCCCCAGTCCAAGAATGAAGTTGCGCAAAGGCTCTCCTAGCCACAGCTGCCGCCTGCTCTTTGAGCAGGAGTCACAAGTCTAGGAGGACATCCAGAAACAAAGATGGAGGGTCCCTAGAACTAGGAGGTCCAAAAAGCCAGAGCCACTCAGTCTTGCTTGGGTTGAGCTGAAGCCTGTTGTGCCCCATCCAGGTCCCCACATGCACTGAAACAGAACCTCCACAGCATCACTCAGGCGGCCTGGGGTAGAGATTTAAAACTGAGTATCAGCTATTGCTGCAGCTATTTAAAAAAATATCAAAATAGGTGCACAAATTATATCAGATATGTAGGACATGATAAAGAGGTAATGAAAAAATTATTAGCATTTCATGAGTTCTTTTCTGGAATCCTGAATTTACATTAAGGTATAATACAGTGTCCTATTTATATATGCATCAGTCAATAAATAGCAGTTTCCAATTGAGAACATTTGCTTCATTGTTTTAATATGGCACTCAGCATCAGCATATTAACAAAGGACCTCTGGATTCAAGTTGGCCTCTTTGCTTGTTACATTTATAGATAAACGTTTAAAGATATTTCAAAGATAAAGGGATAGCCAAAAAACAAACATACAAAACCCCTGTCAGGAGTAGAAAATGTATTACAAAGTTCAGTGGGTTGGATCTATAGCAAATTATTATAATTTAGGTCACTAAGATCAGTGGGAGCTATTTGTTAGTAAGTCTTTTGTTGGTTTTAATGATATCAGCATGTGACTGATTTGCTCAGATTCTAGCTTAGCCTCCATACAAAAAAAGGCTACTATTGTATTTATTGAAATAATACATTTATAGCATGTTCTCTCTCTCTAAGCTTTATTGTGGGGCTTTGGTTTCCAGCAAGATTTTTAAAACAATTTTTTGGAATCCTTTGGAATTTATTTTAGTTATTTGAGGCAGCACCTAACCAAACTTGGCTGATCTCAATGGTCACATCCTTGTCACTAGGAATCAAGTTTGACTCAAGCAAGATTGTAATGTACAACTTTAGGACAGTATTAGCATTTGAAATACAGGTAATCCCCAATTTAAGAACGAGTTCTGTTCTCAGGGTCTGTCCTTAAGTCAAATGTGTCTGTAAGCTGAAACAGTATTATTATATAATACTGTATAAGTAGTGTTGTGTAATGAATTCAAACCATTATGTATTTAACTCAAATTTTGTTACAGTAGGCTCCATTCTTAACTATGGGTCGTCTGTAACTGGGGACTACTTATAATCTAGAAACAGTGTGGTGCTGTAGTGCACAAAAATTTATATATCCACTGGATCAAAACATATTCCACACAAAGACCAAAGCACCTGAATCACACATATTTCAGTTGGGGGACATACCACCCCAAATCAGCTGTTCCTCACACAGAATGGTTTGCACATCCTTAATGATCAGCGTATAACTGAAATTAAAATGTCTTTTCTCCTGAGTCTCACAAAGAACGTTCATTACTTTGGGATGGCACTAAATGGAGCAGACAGTGACCAGTTCCTGTTTTTAATTCTTGGGATAGGAAGGAGGGACAGGAAGGCAAGTAGATCAATCCAGGAGAAACTGGACTTCTTTAAGAGCTCAGTCTTCTCAAAATTTTCTCCTACATTAATTCTCTCTACTCCCTCTACCTTCTCCTCTGACCAGGAGGAAAAGCTGTAGGGGATGTAAAAAGCATTTCTCTCCCCCTTTCTGTCTTGCTACTCTTTTAATTTGGTCAGGGCCACAAATAGTTGAAGTTGGGCATGGCATTGTTGGGTGATTCACACTACCACTGTGAAAACCACTGTGGCAGAGGCACAATAACAGAATGATAACATAAATAAAGGGCCTTCCCTAATGTCTCCAAATGTGCCCTTTCTTGTCACCAGTGTACTTTCCCAGCTTGTTCTTCTTATCCACACAACAGGGAGGGGAATGTGAGGTGCCCTGTTTAGACTCCAGCAGCATTGATAGACCTCTGATAACAGGAGAAGAGAGGAGGGAGGGCGCTGAGAACAAGCTTACTGTAAAGCAAGAGGTGCTTCTTAAGTACTCCACACCATCTGATTACTCTCTCATCTCCCTCGAGAATGGGATTGGATATCACTGTTCTGGAAGAGTTTTAATGGGAGTCATGGCCTGGGAGAAAAAACAGAGTGTAAAATGTCTCCCAGTCCAAGGGTACTTCAGTTTTCACACATAGATATCAAAACAAGAGGAAGTTGGCCTATTCCTCCAAGGCCGACCTCGGTCTAAAGATTGAAAACTTTCTCTTCCTTTTCTAAATGACCATTTATTGACTCACTTTTCTTTAATTCCTTGCACTACGAAAGCAGAATGTTTGCCGCAAAAAGAATTTTAAATCAGTGAAGCAGGGGAAAGCCAACTGCAAGCTAGTAACCGCAACATGCACTTCAGATATTCCTACTCTTGACAGTGGGCCTTCCCAACCAACACCTCCTCTTTCCCACCAGATAGGAGAGAGATAGAAATATGAAGGGCTCCCACTTACCATCCATTGCTATGGAAAATGAAGCTGACTGAGAAAGCAGGGTCTTGGAGCCAACAGCCAGCACCCTCCCACATTCTCAGAGCACTGGTGAGGGACGTAGGCCAAAAGCCTCAGGGGCTTGAACAGCTCCTATCTGTATAGCCAGAGGTGGCATGGGAGGAATGGGAGACCTTTCTTTTAGAAGCTTTCCTTATGCTGCTGTCAACGCCTGTCAGAATTGTGCAATTAAGAGGAAGAAGCTAATTCAGCAAAAATGCTGTTTTTGGTGGGAGCCAAAATTAGACTTCCTGTCAGAATCTCCCACTATGTTTTCAAGTGACCTAATAAATTTTAGGTTAATAAATAAGCTTTATTCTGCTGACTACACTTTGGAGCCCAGTGATGTGAATGGCTGGCTTTATAAAGTTGCAGAATTGTGAGTTCAAATTCTTCCCTCAAATTCTTCCTTTCAAATTTTAATTTATTTTTTATTATTATTGCTACTGCTTTTATATTGCATATTGTTTAATTTAAGCCTTTGAATCAGTGTTGACTCCTAGCGACTGCCTGGACTAGTTTCTGAAGTTTTCTTGGCAAGATTTTCAGAAGTGGGTTCACCATGGGCTTTTTCTTAGGTCAGAGAGAGAGAGAGAGTGGCTGGGCCAAAGTCACCCCACTGGTTTTGTGCCTAACGCAGGACTAGAAGTCACAGTCTCTTGGTTCCTAGCCTGCTGCCTTAACCACTACACCAAACTGACTCTCTCTCTATTGTATATCTACCTTTTTATTGTAAATACTTGTTTGTTATTTCCCTATTTCTTTAGAATTAGAGCTGCTGCCTAGGTTTGTAACGTCCATTTTGTAATTTTGTGTATTTTAATTCATTGATACTCCTTTGTTTCTGGTCTGTACCTAGTTTCTGAGTACAATATAAATTATTGTTCTTATTGTTGTTGTTATTACAGATCCAACCTTGAATTTCAGGTTTGGCATCAGTAATCTCCTGATTCTTCAGGGTTCTTTTCCCTCATCTTATGCAGACTTTATAATGATATGGACATCAGTAAAGCCATTATGCTTCTACAGCATAATGAACATTCCATGTACCTTCATGCCTCATGAATTCATTGCCAACAAGAAAAAGCATTTTTTCCAGCCCACTCAATATTTTTTTTTCTTGTTTTAGGTGTGGAAATTAGATGTAATCTAATTAACACCATTCAGCTAAGTCATTTCCCCCATTCTAGCAATTAATCAAGCTCCTGGGTATGACAATACCTTGCCAATTCTTAGTTTTTGATAGTATAGTCTACCTCCTTCAGTCCAGGTTGCATTCTGTTTTCCTTTCTGTAGTCAGCTGTTTTACAAATCTGGAAGGTGGAGGCTAAACTATTTTGCCTGCCAACAAGGATGAGCCTGAAGCAATCCAAGTTTTCTAGGCAGTTTCTTTATTCAGCTGGGGAGCTGATCCTCAAAACAGATCTGTCTTATTGGAAGAAGTACAGAATATCAATTAACTGCAGTTTCAGTCAAATCAAGATGACACTGAGATATGCCCTTTAAAATAAGAATGCTTTATTAATAGCCAGGCTGCAACTAAGTATGCCTCTACAAAGAGGCATCAAAATTATTTGAATAGTTATCTTTTTATCTTCTAGACATTATGGTGAAATCTTGTTTGAGAAGGTGTATCAGACAGAAGATGGGTCAGATGCATTGCTGGTTAGAATATTAAAACAGGACAAAAACCTCAAGGTTTTCAGATAATTATTCAGAGGGGTGGCAGTCCTAATATGTACGTTTTACATCTAAAGAAAACAGCCAGTTATCTCATCTCACAACTTTTTTGGGGGGAGTTTCTTAGATCAAATTCTATTCTATTTCTGCTCCTGTATTCCCTTTCAGAAGGAGATACTCTTGGTAGGACCAAGAGTTTTCTTGAGTCTAGAAATCCAGTTTGAAAATTGAAAAAAAGCTTCCTAAATCTGGATTTTGTTATACTTAAGAAAAGGTTCTACATTTGGGAAGTATAAAATTTTTCATTGAAAGATATCTTCCCATTGTGTTCAGAAAGGAAGTATCTGAACAGAGAGATAGATTGGCCATGTATTGTTATCTTTGCAGGATTACATGGGTATATTGAAGGCTACTGTTCTAATTCCCCAGAACTCCAGATGGGTGCTTTTCCCACTTAGCCTTGGCAACCTGTTTTTTAAGAAGTAACTTTTCTCTCCTAGTCTACAGTTATCTGTTTTTTAAACTTGTTATAATACAGAAGATTTTTTTCCATGCCCTTGGCTAGATATGATTCAGATTGGAGTCCCTCGATCTTTTCCTCAGATACATATTTCTTCACTTAAGTGTGTTTCCAGCTCAAATCCAGCCATTTCCTTCTAGTTTAATTCCTCTTTAATTCATGGGGTACCTCTCCCTTCACTTTATTCACCTCTTTCTCATTCTCAGGAAAAATGTGACATTGGCAGCATGCACACAGAACACGTAAGGTATTTTGGAGGAACGTTAGAAGTTATTTGTGAGAAGTTCTCTTGACTCTTCAGCAGAAGTCTTTGGACACTAAGGTTCTGCAACCACATTTTCTAGATAGACACAATTTGGTTCAGTCAGTTTTGGTAATGAATACGAAGAGAAGCACTTCAGCTTTACTTCATCGCACATAGTGATTCTGTCTAGCAATCTACCAAGAATGGCAAAGAAATTATTATTTCTGGAATCCCTCCCTCTGTTGTTCTGTTACACCCCAAGATAATTAATGGCCTCTGTGAGGTTTGCCATGAATTTCTATTATATTCTGCTTTATTTCTACATATATTTGTATAAGACTCCAGCAACTCCAAACTAAATATTAAGTGCAATATGAGGGCTATTACCGTCACTAACCTTGGGGTTGGGGGGAGGGAAGGGCCTGGCAGATCCTCTCAAGAGTAGGATAATTGTTCCTTCTCTCTGTTTCTCTCTTTGTGACTTGTTTATAATTTATTGATGTATTTATTAAATGCATATGTTTACTTGTTTAGTTCTATTTTCCAGTAGTTAGAACTACCTGTTCTAAAATATTGTTTTGTGTTGAGCTGAAGGACAGTCTTGTGCATCCAGTCTGATCTGGGGATTAAGATAGCTCATCCCCTGGAGAGTCAAATGAGAATGTGAACCTTGTCCATTCACTCAAGGAAGCAGTATCATCCTAAGATAAAGAACTTCCTCTATAATGCTCAGAGAATGGAAATTCACTGCAGCTTAATTTCTGGTTCCTTTTATCCATTTAGCATAGATTTTTTATTCCTTTAGTGGAATAGCAAGGTAAGATTAAATGTTAAGGTACCAGACACAAAGTGAAGCTTTAGCCTTTGCAGCCTAAAAAATGCTTTCACACATTGATGCTCTTGCATAGGCCAGGCTCTTTTTTTAATTGGGAATTTTCTTCACAGGTACGGTGCTCATCCCAAAGTCTGTTCAATTATCTGAAAAGTATTCAGAATGACAGGGATGCAATGAGCAGCTTCTGTGAGACTTTGCTGAAGGTCTTTGAGGACAATCTGCTGAATGACAGGTAATCTGTGCCATTTCAGTCAATGTGGGGGTAGAGGGTAAGAATAGAAATGGAACAATTTGCCTTCTAAAGACTTCCCACAACATTCCAATCCTTAGATCCCTAAAAGGGCCAGAAAAATTCAGCCCCACACCATCAATTGACCTCAAATCACCAGATGTTTCTTGTAGCCCTCCAAAAAGTTAGGAGGCAGAGTTGCAGTTCTCAGTTCCTCAAAACATGCCCACATGCGAAGTAGTCTTTGGTCAGATTTCTTATGGTGATTTTGGTACTCTTGTTCCTGAATATTAGAGTTATATTTTCCATCTATGACTTTTGAGTTAGAGCCACAGTTATTAAATCATTTTCTAAATGGGAAGTCATCAGTTCAATTAGATCTTGTAAGATAGTCAGAAACAGAGTTAGAAGATAGGACTTCGAAAGTAGTGAATTGTGACTCCTGTTCGCTTTCAAAAGCAACAAGAGAAAGAAGTATGCCTCTGGAATTTGGACTTTGAGAGATGACAAATATTACTTGTCCCAATTTCTCATGAAGTCACAGACTGGCACAAGCAGAAGGAACCAGTAGGGAATGGCAGTCAGCTGGCAGGAGGGAATGGACAAATATCAGAATTATTAAAACTCAGAGGGCTAATAGAATTTAAAGAACATAGGCAAGCAAAATAGACAGACTTTTCTGTTCTTGATGGCATTTGGAAGGTCTTCTCTTGGATTCTCAAAAAAAAAAAAAATGTAATGGCTGTATCTCACAATGGCTATCATGATGATCAGTCACAAATCACTGATTTCCCAGAAACTGGAATGGCTAAAAAGCAAATAACTGATACAGATGCTAAATTAAGTGATAGAGTAGAGAGTAACTGCTCAACTTCAAAGCCCTTTTTGAATTTATAATCATCTTGCTCATTTAGGATAACCTCCTGAATGACAAAATTTACTCACTCTAGTCATCAATTTGTCTGTCAGGGTCTGACTTTTCAAACAGACAGAAATCCTCTCTCATACAGTCTAATTTCCCATCTTTGGTTGCCTCCAGGCCTCCTTTATCTCCCATTAATAGCTTTTCAATAAAACTTTAAAAGAGCAGATACTATAGTAAAAAATAGAGTTTCAGTGAACAGTTACTTGGGTTAAAAAGAAGCTGTGATATCCAGTCAAGCTCCTAATTGTTCAGAATTTTCCATACTGACATATATACAGTGGGGCAAAAAAGTATTTAGTCAGCCACCAATTGTGCAAGTTCTCCCACTTAAAAAGATGAGAGAGGCCTGTAATTTTCATCATAGGTATATTTTCCACCATAATTTGCAAATAAATTCTTTAAAAATCAGACAATGTGATTTTCTGGGACCAAATACTTATTTTCCACCATGATTTGCAAATAAATTCTTTAAAAATCAGACAATGTGATTTTCTGGGACCAAATACTTATTTTCCACCATGATTTGCAAATAAATTCTTTAAAAATCAGACAATGTGATTTTCTGGGACCAAATACTTATTTTCCACCATGATTTGCAAATAAATTCTTTAAAAATCAGACAATGTGATTTTCTGGGACCAAATACTTATTTTCCACCATGATTTGCAAATAAATTCTTTAAAAATCAGACAATGTGATTTTCTGGGACCAAATACTTATTTTCCACCATGATTTGCAAATAAATTCTTTAAAAATCAGACAATGTGATTTTCTGGGACCAAATACTTATTTTCCACCATGATTTGCAAATAAATTCTTTAAAAATCAGACAATGTGATTTTCTGGGACCAAATACTTATTTTCCACCATGATTTGCAAATAAATTCTTTAAAAATCAGACAATGTGATTTTCTGGGACCAAATACTTATTTTCCACCATGATTTGCAAATAAATTCTTTAAAAATCAGACAATGTGATTTTCTGGGACCAAATACTTATTTTCCACCATGATTTGCAAATAAATTCTTTAAAAATCAGACAATGTGATTTTCTGGGACCAAATACTTATTTTCCACCATGATTTGCAAATAAATTCTTTAAAAATCAGACAATGTGATTTTCTGGGACCAAATACTTATTTTCCACCATGATTTGCAAATAAATTCTTTAAAAATCAGACAATGTGATTTTCTGGACCTATGATGAAAATTACAGGCCTCTCTCATCTTTTTAAGTGGGAGAACTTGCACAACTGGTGGCTGACTAAATACTTTTTTGCCCCACTGTACATATATAGTACATACATACATTTATTTATTTATATTTCAAATTTAGTCACTGCCTATCTCACTCAAGGAGCGACTGGATGGTTTCAATTTCAAACAGATTGCATAATTTTATTTTATTTTTTAATCTGTGCTCAGTCGTTACCGACTCTGCAGTGAGTGCTTGGATGAGTCCTTTGCAGTTTGCAAGGCAAGGTGTTTCAGAAGTGGTTTGCCGGTGTCTCCTTCCTAGAGCAGAGCCCAGCTGGCGAGCGCAGGAGGCGGGGTTTCCGTTGCTTCGCGCCCTTTTCGGGCGCATGTGGTTTTTCGCG